TTTTAGTTTGAAAATCACTGACTAAATATATTTTTATTTTAATTAAAATAAATTTTATCAAAAATCTTTTTAAATGTAATTATTTTTTTTGTAAATGTAAGTACTTTTTTGTTATATTTGTTTAATTTTATAGATTTATATACTTTTTGGTTCAAAAATTGTTTAGGGACTTAATCGTTCAAAATATGAATGTTCATTGGGTTTTTTTTCGGATTTTCACTATTTTACCACATTAACTAGTTGTACAAGTCATAAGAATGTATCCAACAGGTTTTAGAAAAGTACAAAAAGTTATTTAAAATGTTTTGGATTGTCCAATGATTTATTTGTTTCAAAAAATTGTCCAATGAGTTATTTAACATGTTTTAAATTGTCCAAGGACTTATTTGTTCCAAAAAATTGTCCAAAGAGTTATTTAACATGTTTTGGAATGTCCAAGGACTTATTTGTTCCAAAAAATTGTCCAAAGAGTTATTTAACATGTTTTGGAATGTCCAAGGACTTAGTTGTTCCAAAAAATTATCCAATGACTTAATCATTCCAAACACTAAAGTCCATTGTGTTTTTTTAGATTTTTCTTATATATATATATATATATAGAGAGAGAGAGAGAGAGAGAGAGAATTTGATTCAAATGCAACTCATTGCATTTGTACAACCAATACAACCTAATAAATTGAAATACTTATGGAACTGATGAGAGTTCATTTATTATGATTTAAATATTTATGGAAGATAAATAAGGTTCACTAATTATGATCAATACTTTATATTAGAAAACAATCAAAACTTCTATGAAATTACATATTCATTAAATTAAATGGACGGTTGAGATTGAGTTGTATTTATTGTACAAATGTAAGGGTTTGTATAATAACTCAACTCTATATATATATATATATAGGGTTGGGTTCACGTGAGACCCGTGAGACCACCTTTTTACACTTGAAACTTCACAGCAAAAACACTGTGAAGTTAAAAAAAAGCGGAACCTTCACAGCAAAAACACTGTGAAGGTTACCTTCAGAGCATTTTACTGTGAAGTTTCAAGAGTAAAAAAGTGGTCTCACGGGTCTCACGAAAACAGGTTGGTCTCACATGATCCCAAGTCTCTCTCTCTCTCTCTCTCTATATATATATATATATATATATATATAGGGTTGGGTTCACGTTAGACTAGTTTGTTTTCGTGAGACCTGTGAGACCACATTTTTACACGTAAACTTCACAGCAAAAACACTATGAAGGTTAGAAAAAAGTCGAACATTTACAGCAAAAACATTGTGAATGTTAAAAAAGTGTAAAAATGTGGTCTCACGAAAATAGACTGGTCTCACATGATCCCAAGCCTCTCTCTCTCTCTATATATATATATATATGTATGTATATATATATATATATATATAACCACAATTTTGAAACATTAGTTTAGCCTTGAATCATGAGTTTGTGTGGTTATTTTGCAAGTTAACTAATATATAAAGTTGAAGGTTTATATGGTGTATTAGCAAAGATCGAATGGAAAAATAATTGCACATGTATTAGGTTTTTACACCCATATACTCAGAATTCATTACAAAGCTTGGAAAATTCTTGACTGAACAAAGAAATACAATCATTTGTAAATAATGTTCATTCGTATATCCAAATTGTTGTTTAGTTTTCGTGATGCACTCATCTGTATATCCAAACTGATTGTCACTCTTGAAAACTAAACAGATACCTTAATATGTTAGCTATCAGTTCATTCAATTTTTTGCATTTTCTATATCAGACCAAGGAAAATGAATTAGTAAAAAAGAGAGGCTAAAAAAGTACTATTATAAAAAACAGAATTTAGTTAATATATTATATTTTTAAAGATTTATGTCAATTATACGTTAAAATACTATACTTGATTCAAATTGTCTCACGACATTCTGAACCTAGCTCACGCACCGCTTTAATGGGTGACACTACTCTTGAACACCCGTGGTCGGACCTTCTTTTCTTTTTCGAGAATCTATACATCCCTTATCGATGTATAAACAACTATCTCTCAGTTTTTACTTATTTTATATTATTTATCAATTATCTTTTATCAAACATGATTTATTCAACAACTAACTTATCAACTAATTTATCTGAATCATTTTCATTTGAAATTTGACAATTTTGATGATAACCCCGTGATGGGACTTGAGCCTACATCTACATTATTTGGTACTGATTAGAGATCTGAAGTGGTTGATAAATTTGGCATAATCACCATTAATGATGGTCCTTTTATGTGTTTGGTGGCCAATTGACCAATTCATTGGATGAGGGTTTGATTTCTTCTGTCCGCCATCTTCACCCTGAACCTGAACCTGAATCCATACAAAATCGTGATTAGATTTTGATTTTTGAGCAGAATGTACCACCACCACTCCTCAAGGTTGATTCAACCAGGGGAAGCCTGCATAGATGTTGCTTCTCTTCATCGGGCTATAGGTGTTGGTCTGGGTGGAGACCCTTGCCTCCTCCTTACTTCTGATCCTAAACCTCGCCTCCGTTGGACTGCTGACCTTCACGACCGTTTTGTTGATGCCGTTTCTCAGCTTGGTGGCCCTTCTAGTTAGTTTCCCTTTCTTATTGCTGCTTATCTGTTTCCACTTTTACAATTATGTTAAGCTATTTGTATGGCTGAAGCTGCAGCATCATGTGTTTGGCTTTCTTCGTTTTTCATTCAGGTTGTCTGTATTTTGTTCCTTTCTTTTTTTTCTCAATAAAGAAGGGTATAACACTGATCGAAATATAATGATGCCTTGATGATTTACTATGAGACAACTAGCTTGAAAGAAACGAAAAAGGTCAAAACCCCATCTTTTTATATGATATCAGCATTTGAGAATGTTTCAACTGGGATCATCTTTTACATGATGCTGACTTATGGCATCTAGATGTCAGCATTAGAGAAAGTTTCAACTGGGATCAGCTTTTCTTACTTGAACTTAATTCTTAGTTAAGTTCTAAGCATGTGTCAACTCTCACCTGATGTTTGATTGTCCAGTCTGTTATTATGTCAATTCTTATTTAAGATTGTGTTGTATGCTAAATCTTCTGCATAATTAACTTGTCTGGGCTATACTAATTTCTCTCTCAAAAATATAGTAGGGAATTATCAAGCACACATCTTACAATGTCAAACTGGATCGACTAATCATCCTTTAATCACATAGCAAATAAATAAGGTATTGGGGTTGGGTCTATGGAAGCATGGACGAAACGGTTATGGCCCAACTGAATATAAGCAGAAGTCTTATGGCCATTGCTTGTTAATCTAGCCTAAACTGTGGGCCAAGCAATCACTACAAAACTGAAAGACAACTACATGTGTATTACTTTCCTTATGTGGCCAACAGGCAGCATGTAAGTACTACAAATACTCTCATTTGATTTGCTAGATAGAAATTGTTAATCAAACCCAATTCCCAAATATGAGACAGTTTGATTATGTCAATGGTTATAAGGTGAAGATGTTAATGGAACATGTAATTGTCCTGAATTGTTGAATAGAAATGCTGAAAATCATATCTATTGCAGATATTAAACAGAACCAAACTCAAGCTATAGCTGGCTATTGCAGCCACAGTAAAACAGTCTCACAAGTTGAAGGCATCAATTATTGCAGTGATACAACAAACTGCAAACTGTGGGGCTTGATGGAGATAAATGTATATCAGAAGCAGTTTCAATGTAGATTCTGGTATTTCCCTTTTAGTTGCATCTGACCATCTCCATCACTATAGAAGTGTCTGGGCTCTCCCATGATTTTCCAATGAGAATTTCAAAAAGTTATTGGATTTCATATTTTGTTATCATGGCATCAGAGCATTGATACTTCTCCATCAATGGTTCTTCCATCAGTATTGGTGTTTTTCCAATCAACCCATAGATGCTTTTCATCATCTACACCCTCATACCTCTGAAAGCCCTAGTTTGATTTTGATTCAAAACATCTCAATGTAACATAAAATTTTGGTACCTAGAGGAGTTGTATGAAGATAGTGTCATTTAAAGAACTGGTTGAGTATCAGTATCACAGAGGGTGTTTTCACAATTTCTCCGAAGGACTTGAGTTTTGTGGCCACATTGGGGGAGGATCGATGGCATGGTTATCTCCTGGGTCTTCAACGTGATTTCTGATACTAACGGCCTCACCTATGCATGATAGGCCTTTGAAGTTTAGAATGGGTTGCATTAAAGGGTTCGGGTATTGGTGTGCCACAGAATTTTCCATGATTTATGTTTCATCTTTCGTTTCCTGAATTAGAGAAGAATCTATACTCTTCAAATCACCATGCAGGAAAGCATTCTTCACATAAAGTTGCTGCAATTCCCAATTCAATTTGATTGCAAAGGAGATGATGGGTCTTACACCCAATTCAGCTTGAAGAAGTTTCTTGATCATCAATACCCTAGAGTGAAACGTAATACTACAAGACACCCTATACTTTTCGACAACTCCATCCAGACCATGTTTGATTACAGTTCACCAAGTTATTTGGGACATGATTTGAAGACTATTTTTGTAAAACCCCTGCTTTCAAGAGTTTCTTCCCACTTTTGAGATTGTACAGGTTTCTATTAAGCATTAAGAATAGAAACCAAATGCAAGGAAGAAATTGAACATCAATAATGTGCTTGCATGTACATTGATTCTCAAGTGGACTTTTACAAGGAACAATGAGAATACCTAAAGTATGATCTTCACTATTGTTGCTTGAATTTGAAGGATGGTCGGCGTCAGGATATGATAGTATGGGTTCACAGTCTTGAAAAACATGAGTCTCAATGGCAGAAGTGGACTTTGGACAAGTCCTTGAAGCATTGAGTTAGAACCCTTTCAGACTTGTCATTATGTAGACCGTGTTTTTGGTAAAGTTGCTGCATCAAGCCAAGTCAAGTTCTCATCTAGGAGATCTAGATCCTCACATACAGGCCGATGAATTGGGATAAACTCATCCATCGATAGCAATCCCTTCCCAGTATGCTTTATAAGCAGCAATGATATCCATTCAAGAATGGATTATAAGAAATTAGGTGAGAAAATAACAAGAAGGTTGTAGGATGCAATTGGGTATGTACAAGAAGGAAGAAATCAGACTACAGCCGGCTAAAACAGGAGTCCTTGTCATAGGCTTTCAGGAGATATTTGAACCCATCAGTCAAAAAGGACATGTTTCCTTTTTCTGTATAGAGAGGATGGGGATGAATCTATGTTAGCTGGATGTCAAAAATGCTCATCTTCCATTCTGACTTGGATGAGAGGTATATATAGAGACCCCCTTCAAAATCTTCCTTTTTAGACCCAAGAAGATCATTTATGGTCCAAAGTTGTCCATACTCCATAGGAGCAATGACTTTTATATTCTAATAGCCGTAACTCTATGTTTAGTTACAATAAAAGCCATGTGGATCAATCCAAAGCTTCACCAAAGATGGTCTGTTGCAGGGTCACAGTGGTTATCATATTTTTCCTAAGACAGTTGCACACCTTGTCATAAAATTAATGGAGAAACCAATTATTTTTTAGTGGAAGGGATGGTGATTCAATATCTGTACATGAGAATTGAGGAGCCTCTGGATTTTTCTACTTGCTATGCCTCTAGGATTCTGTAGTGTGAATAGAAGGATCCTTACTGATCAAGCCCTCATTGGACTTCAAACTGGAAGAAAGAACACAGTGATAAGTGTTGTGCACCACAGGGCGTGGACACATTACGTCCGAGATGTCATGCATTGTCTCATCATAGCAGGTCCCGGAAGTCCGTAGTCTTCAACCTATGATAGACATACGAGTGATGAAGAAAGTGGACTAACCTTCTACTTATCACTTTGTTAGCTTAAACAACTAAAACCTGATAAGAGGTAAGCTTTGATGGAGCACAAGGACTCCTGAAAAGGAGAAAGCCATAGAAATTTAGAATAAATAATTGTAAATAATTGTCAATAACTCGTCTGAATACCCTTAAAAACAGATGTGGCATAATAAGTTTGCTACTATTACCCCTCACACTTGTTTAAGGGTATTCTCAATAACAGGCATCTACAGCTCAAATCCCCAAATAAAAATCTGAAACCTCATAACTACTGCACTTGATGAATGATTCTTGGGCATCTCTTTGACAGTGATTCTATTGTGTAACTTAATTGTTTAGTTCATTTAACATCATCTAGCAGACAGTTTTTAGCAATCTTTGCTGAATTCACTATTAGCTTCTTTGTTAGGGGTTGCAGATGATGCAGATTGACCTGTTGTTAGGGCTGTTTACCAAACACTTACAGGGTAAGCGCTTACCTGGCAAGAGTCACCGCCCTCGCTTACGTTATCGGGTAACATTCTCCAACATCAAAATGGATATTTGGTAAATGTTTCTACCTGGTAAGTGCTAACCTCGTAAGAGTCTTCTAAGATTCTCGGTCCTTGCTATGCCTCTTACCGGGTAAGATTCCCTTTCCTTGCCATGCTCACCCGAAACCTGGTAAAGTGACACTTGGTAATGGCTCGGTAAACGGCCCCTAACTTTCCCTTGTTATCACTGCGATTATCTTAAGTCCTCATATTTTGTCGAACCGATCTGGTTATAGAATTGGATCCAAGTAATGATATTAATGATACTTGCAGAAGCTACTCCAAAAGCTATTATGCGGGCGATGGGTGTAAAGGGTCTTACTCTCTTCCATCTAAAAAGTCACCTCCAGGTTTGCTTTCAAATTGAGCTATGTTAGATGCTCTTGCCCTGCAGTTAAGACAGTTTAGTTTGCCAAGTTATTTAACCAAATTTCTCTCTGTGTCTCTCCTTCCCTGGCTTTGTTGCAGAAATACAGACTAGGTAAGCAATCTGGGAAAGGTTTATGTGAACCCAACAATGATGGTATGTTTAGCTATAGCTAAAATAAGCTGGTGCAAGTGCATACGTTTCACATGCATGACACAGTTGAAAGAAAAACTTGTCAGTTGCTTAAATTTCTTCTCACTGTCACAATAAGGAAGTTTTGTCTGCTGTGCACCTGTGTGGCCATATCCTTCCCTATGATTACTTCATAAATATCTGACCATTGGTTAAAATGTCTACTTTTGCACACTTTTCAAAAGTCGGGCGTTTTCATGGAAACCTACGCTTTACTCTATGGGTAGAGGTGGGGTCTGCGTACTCCCACCCTCCCTAGACCAACACCTCCGGGTGGGATATATTGTGCTCATTTGGTTTAGTTTGGTCTTGGCATGAGTTCAATCAACTAGTTCTGGTGAAGAACTTTTTATTTATCCTTGTACGAAGAATATGGTGAGACGAATATTTTGATGTTTAAGCTGTCTTGTATTGCTTTTATCTAAGGACTCTCAGGTTTGTATCATATGGAGAGCCCCCAAGTGATGTGTTCTTCTCAAAGCCTGGAAACTACTCATGTGAACGAGTAAGAGAAATGGCCTGCTTCTTTTTCCAAAAATATACGATTTATGTGTGTCTGTTACTATGGTGCTCAAATTTCAGAGCTTTTATTTGATTATCAGGGGTTACGAAGTAAAGGAAGCATTGAGAGCTCAAATGGAAGTCGAAAGTAGATTACACCTGCAGGTTGAAGTAAGAATCCTCCATTTTCTATGATAAGTTATTAAGTTTGAAGTGATTTTTGTGGAATAACTGATCAAGCGGTTGAACTGGTAAGTTTCTTTGAGCAAGGGAAAAAGCTACGTTAGCGCATAGTGCTTCAGAAAACCCAAGGTTAGGAATGCATACGTGTACAGGCAAACTAGCTGATAAGCTAGTTGTTGGCAAATAGATCAGTCTCGTTTGGTAAAAGCTAGCTAATAATCAAGATGATGGTGTAAAATGACCAAAAGGAAAATTATAAAGGGCACTTATGTAAAATAAAAGGGTCATAATTGGAAGAAAAAAGCTCCAATAAGTTATCTGAAATGGCTTTTCAAAAAGGGGCCAAATGGAGTTTTTTCAATAAGCTAGCTTATGGTTGCCAGTCATATAGCAAAATTCTTTTGGAATGATGTGGACTAGACACCATTGTCTTAACTAAAAAGGTGTACAAACTTGGGTGATTCTGTGTAGTTCTGATAGTGCAGGCTGAGAAACACTTGCAGAAACACCAGGATGCAGAGAAAAGGTATCTGATAATGCTAGAGAAGGCCTGCAAGATGCTTGCTGATCAAATCATCGGAAGTGAAGAAATGAATGGCTCTCAAACGGAATATGCTGAAGCTGAAAAGCGATCAGGCGTGTAGCACAGATTGTACTGACGAAAGCTGCTTGACTTCACATGAGAAGCCTCTACTGCTGCGGGGTCGGTTTGCCTTTTGAAAGACATAAAGCCGGGGAGAAGAGGTGACGTCGAAGTCGATCTGTTGGAATGTTCTGTTTGTAGTTTGAGGAAAGTCTGGGTGTCTAACAGGCTTCTCTAGTTTTGTAGTATAATTATATGGAATCTTAACATGCTAGTAGATGTCAAATGGATGTGGGCTATATTACCTTTTGTTTGTTTATGGTACTTTTTTTAAATCAAATAAGATGATGTTCAAAATTCTCCTTGGGTTGAGGGTTACAACCAACAGGGTGGTGTTTGATTGGTTTGAATTGGCTCCTAAGGTCAAAAGAATCCAATGAGAGATAAAAGTCCCTTTGCAGCCACGGAGGTTCAAATGCAGTGACTCCGTGGGTGGTTGCCTTGGGATTAGTCGGCTCGCATAGTGGGTTGGATAAAAAAATGGAAATTCTATCTTTGTATATATAAACAGAACAACAATGTAGAATGAAATGGTACGATGAGATTTGAGAATACTGAAATCCTAAATTGCGGTGTTACAATCGTAATCTCACACGGTTAGGAGACAAAAGATTGAGAAATATTTAAGGGGGAATGATGCATATGAAAACTAAAAAAAGTTGAATCTATCGTTTTCTCCATCAATATGAATAACGAAAACAATACCATAATTAAATATTTTTTATACTTAAATTTCATAATACTATTTCAAGCCTACAATCTTCATTTTATATGTATACATACATATATATATATAGATCTTTCATATCTCCATCAATGTATGATATACAGAACTCAACCACAATTCAAGAAATGAAGAATACTCTCTCCTTAGGATGCTACCATATTCATTGCAAGTTTTACTCTAAGATATATAAAGATATAAAGATAAAAATAAGAATTACTAATTGGTTTTGTCTTCTGGTTGGCTTTTATTTCAACCATGGTTTTTTATTACTATAATTCTCATGTTTAAGGTTATTTAAATGTAAAATATATATATCTTCATTGGTATTATTTCTTGTAAGGAAAAGAATTTCATACATTTTTTATGCAAAAATAATGTTTTGACATTAAAAATTGTTCAAAAATGGTTAGTTGCAAGCAAATGTGCAATATATTAACCGTTATAATGAGTGTACACAAAATTAGTCTTTTCCAATTTTGCATTTTAGCTTATAATGCTTGTTTTACGACTTAATTGTTAACGGATTATGAAATAGATTGCACATAAAAATTACGATTAACACAATTATTCAAAATTTGAGAGTATTAAAATCTCATAAATCTTCATTATATTTGGTTGTTCATTTAACATATTAATGATCATAAAATATGTCCTTTTTTTAATTAATTTTTTAAAGTTGCTGGAAAAAATGAGGTCAGCCAAAAAAGAAGTTTGTAAATTGTCGCAAACCCTTTTAATTTTGAAAGAAATAACCTCCTCTCTTGATGTACACACCATCTCATTTCAGTGGATTATATATATTCTCATCAACATGGGACAACCGAGGTAACATCAAAAAATTTTGTATGTCACTTTTATAAGATTGTTTTACAAAAATGAGGTTGGCCAAAAAGAATCAACACAATAAATTGTCACAAACCCTACCCTGTTAGTTTTGAAAAGGATTCCGTCTTCTTTTTAATATAAACATCATCTCATTTTATTAATTTATATTCTCACTAATGTAGAACAACCAAAGTAACACCTCAAATTTTGATATATATATATATATATATATATATATATATATATATAGGGTTAGGTTTACGTGAGACCAGACTGTTTTCGTGAGACCATATTTTTACACTTGAAACTTCATAACAAAAACACTGTGAAGGTTACCTTCACAACATTTTGCTGTGAAGTTTCAAGTGTAAAAAGCTTGTCTCATGGGTCTCATGAAAACATGCTGGTCTCATGTGATCCCAAATATATATATAGGGGTCTATTCAAGGGAGAACTGAGTTGTTTGTGGTAACTGTGAGAACCAATATTAACCACAAATCAATAGATAAATTAGGAAATTTATAAATTTGGAAATTTTAAATTAAAATCTTAATGCAAAGATATTTTTGGTATTTTAAAACTCTCCTCTCTCCTCTCTTCTCTCTCCGGCCACCGTCCTCCGGTGATACCACTATGATACCACTGTGATACCTAAAAATATTGACTCTGTTAAACAAAAGATACATTGTGATACCTAATCATATATAAGATGCATAGTGATACCACTGTGTTACATCTTCGATCGACCACACAAACGACATCAATGTGATACCCAAGCACATATATGATGCATTGTGATATCATTGTAGTATCACCGGAGGACGGTGGCCGGCGGACGGTGGCCGGAGAGAGAAGAGAGGAGGGAGGAAAGTTTTAAAATACCAAAAATATCCTTGCATTAATATTTTAATTCAAAATTATAAATTTCTTAATTTATCTATTGATTTGTGGTTAATATTGGTTCTCACAGTTACCACAAACTAATTAGTTCTCATTTGATTAGGCCCCTATATATATATATATATATATATATATATATATATAGCGATCAAATGAAAATCACTTCAATTTGTAAAAACCGTAAAAATTACTCTCATCCATTGTTAATCTTATGAAATTTTTTCATAAAATTCTTAATCTTGTGAAATTGTTTCATATAGTACTTTTTTTGATGAAGTTGTTTCATATGTAGTTATGAAATTGTTTCATATACTACTTAATGAAACTGTTTCATGTATTTCTCTAAAATTAAAATAATGAAGATGATAATATCCGTGATTAACACCCTCCACAATAAAAATGGTTAATCAGCCTCTCATAATTACAAAAAAATGAACAAAATGAAAAATTATAATTGATTGAATGAAGTTTTCACGGTTTTTACAAATTGAGTGGTTTTTATTTAAACCAACCCTATATATATATATATATATATATATATATATATATATATATATTGATTTCATTTATTATCTCCTCCTTTTATATATACTCACAAACATTTGTTATAATGATAATAGTAATAACTTTTCTTTTGTAATTTTTTTTTTTTTTTTTGAGAGAATGAGGCAACTATATATTTTTAAAGAAATATTTTTTAGAAAATTAAGATGCCCAAAAGTTAAATTTAACCAACTTAAGAATTTTGAATTTAAATTATTTATCTCCTTCTCCATAATAATATATATTCTTTTTGCAAAACCGACGCAACGGAAATGGGCCAACTATATATTTTTTAAACAAATATATATTTTTTTTTTTTGCAAAAAAGGATTTGGTTTAATGAGTCAACTCTATATTTTTAAAGAAATATTTTTTTAGAAAAATAAGGTGGCTAAAAGTTACATCTAACAAACCCAAGCATTTCATATTTCAATTCATCATCTCTTCCGTTTATACACTCACTGATATTTGTTACACATTATTCTCTTCAATCAATGTAGGACAACCAACTTAAACAACAATCCAATTCCTTATCTCCTCTTACATACCGACTCTTTTAAAAAAAAAAACCAATTTGGCTAAAATGAGTCAACTATTGATTTTTAAACAAATGTTATTTCTGGAAAAGAATGATGGTTAGAATTTACGTCCAACCAACCCAAACATTCCACATTTCTTCCTTTTATATAATCACTAATATTTTTCAAATATTTTTCTCTTCATCAATGTGAGACAACCAACTTTAAATACAATCTAATATTTGAGAAATTCTCAAACCACATTGTGCCACATCATTCACTCTTGGTTGCTCCTTTAATATATATATATATATATATATATATATATATATAGGTGGAGGTTCAAACGAGAACCCTTGTGATTTACGAAAACGCGAGAACAATTCAATAACCACAAACTTTTTTAATTAATAAATTAACTTTTATTATATATAAATAATTTAATAAGGGCAGTAATGTAATTAAGTAATTTTTATAATTTTTATTTTATTTTAATTAATCAGGATTATCTTCACGTTTCACGTCTTCTTCTCCTTCGATCACGTCTTCTTCTCCTTCATGCGTCTCCTTCATTCAAACGTATTTTCTTTCTCGTTCATCATAATCTACACATAGTCGATGGATGACTTGAATGTTGTTGGTAAGGAAGTTTGTTCAGGATCAAGTTATTCAAGCGATGATTCTGTGGGCTTTTCTCAAGATTGTTTTCTTGAAGACAACTTTTATGAAAGTAGTTCTGATAACGACGAAGAAGGTACGATGTGATAACATTAAAATATATCATCAATTTTCATGAATGGTTTTTTGGGG